CTATGAAACTGAACGAGCTCCCCGTGGAGATTCGGACCCTCGCCACCCTTTAGGCTTTACGGACAGCCGTTAAGGCCTGGCTGTCCCAGCAAGCCTGGGGTTGAGTTCCCCCCCCCCTATTTGAATTTGCTGTGCTTGCTGTGCTTTTTTAAACTGTTGTATCACTGTCCTGTTTGTCTTACTTTCTGTATTTGTTTTTCCCCTTCCCCTGGTTTTTGTTCAGCCGCCCTGAGTCCCTTCGGGGAATAGGGCGGCTTACAAATCGAATAAATACCAAATACCAAATACCAAACCCTAAGCCAAAATATGTTTGGCTAGTTTGTGGTCCAGTGTTTAGTGACAATCCAGAATTCAAACATGGTTAGCATTTTATCAGCTTCATAGCACTTGAGTGAAATGCTTTAAGATTGGGAAAGACTCTAAATTTAAGCTCCTCTGACTATTTAGCATCTGAAAAGAATATTGAGCTATACCAATCCATTGGCTTGTCGTAAGAATTTTATTTGCTATGGATAATTACATCCCCAATCTCTTCATCATTTCACGTAACAGTAGGCGCTTTAGCGTCAAATGCTTGCTTTTATGATATGACTCCAGTACATACCTGAAGATGTGCGATGTATATTAATAGTAGAATTTAACTCCGGACTTCCTTGATCTAAATAAATTATAGCTTCAATAGGAAGTGGTCCAGAGCACTCAGCCCCATTAAAAGTAAAATACCAGCGTTGACAACAGGCATTTCTACATTTAAGTCGAAGTGATCCACTGAAAAGAACTCTTAAAGCACTGTTGGTACGCATCTTGGTGAATGTACATTCCTGTGAGAAAAGAATAAGTGAAATTTTGTAGAAAATACAATTATCTTAAACATTGCTCTTCTGCAACAGGGATAACCCTGGAGATATTCATAAAGATCACTTTCATAAAACTCAGATAAAAAAGTGATGGGGGGGGGAGTGCCAGTTGGTAATGATGAATGAATTGTTCCAATTGAGGAATGCTCAAGATATTTTTCAACTAAAACAATTTATCTATGGTGAAACAGGAAAGGCATCATTTCATACAATACATTTTCTGACTGAGTAAGCTTCTTTGTATTATGTGTATTGATGAAAGTGCAGTCACAGTTTGGGTAATTTGTTGGCTGAGTTCACACTTAAGCCAAGTTTACAAATGTCAGTGGCTGGATCAGACTAAACCAAAACCAAACAAGCCATATTGTGGCTTAATGTGCAGATCCAATCAACAGGTACATCTAGATCAAAATGTATAGTAGAAAATCTGGAATCTTTTTCAACCCCTCTCGAAATGCCTGAAACATTTTAATGCAAAATATGCATTCAGCTGCTAAGCTCTGTCAAAAGTGAAAGGTTTATAATCACAGATACTGTTTTGTTTTAAATGCCTTTCTATTGAAGGGATTTCATGTATTAATCAGTCATTCTGAAGCCGCAAAAAGTGACTGCCTATTTTGAATAATAGTATTAAAAGCCCATCTGCTATTAACTCATTAAAATTGTTACTTCCTCACATAGGCTTGATCACATAGGCTCACAACTTGATTGCAATAATGTTGAAGTGTTTCCTGTCCAAACCCTACTGCTGTATTTAAATCTATGAATTATTGGTTTTCTGCCAATGCTAAATTCAATTTGAGGATCCACCTTAGGGTTACTAGGACTTTGGTCAATGATGTCAAGATGTCACCAAATAGGACTAGGCCAAACATTGGGTGCCATCCGGGGTCATAGTACAGTGGGTTAAGGATAGGAGGGGGAGAATGAAGCCCTGCAAATACCCACTGTATCCCTTAAAACAGGGGTGTCAAACTCAAGGCCTATGGACTGGATGCAACCCACAGGATGCTTAGATCTGACCCATGGGACCACCCTGGAAACAGCAAAGGCCCACAGTGCCTTGGCCAGCAAAAATGGAACTTGGGAGCCCCTTTTCACTGACAGAGCGCTCAGGCCACCACAGGCACCCTCCGACACAAGTGACATCGAGCTGGCCACACCCACTCCAGCACCCCAAGGTCAAACGCAACCCTGATGCAGCCCTCAATGAAATGACGTTTGACACCCCTGCCTAAAGCATCCCCCAAATATTTAAAAAAAATTACAATTTGGGGGTTTTAAGAGTGCCTGGAGTTTTTGCAATGCTTAAGGTACACCAAGGCATCCACAGGGGATCAAAATGATGGCTGTAACTGTATAATCAAAGACCCACTTATAAAAAGGGGCATAGCTTCAGTTTTATGGTTGAAACATCAAGCGTCCATTTTGACTCTCTCCCTTACTGAAACCTAAAAAAATAGGACAAACATTTCCACTAACTCCAAAGATGATCTAGAACCATACATGGCTGCAGGCAGGGGTGGGCTGCTGGGGGTTTGCAGGAGTTCGGGAGAACCTCTAGCTAAGATTCTATGCAGTTTGGAGAACCCCAAAAACCCACTCCTGGCTGGTCCCACCCACCCTGCCCCTCCCAGGATTCCCCACATGGCCTATTTTGGATGCAGGTAAGTGCTGGACACGTATATGGCTCGGGGAGGGCGAAAAACGGGCCTACCAGAAGTTTGGGAAGGCCAGAAATGGGCCCGTTTCCACCCACCAGAGGCCCTCTATAGCCTGGGGAGGCCGTTTTCGCCCTCCCAGAGAATCGAGGAAAATATCCGGAGCCTGGGGAGGGCAAAAATACCTCCTGTGGTGCAGGAGGCTCACTAGGCCACACCCACCATGGCCATGCCCACCCAGCAACTGAGCAGAGAACCCCTTGCTAAAAATTTTAAAGCCCACCCCTGGCGGCAGGCTATCTACCTTTGCCAAAACTGGAGTCCCTAGAAGTGAACAGATGATTAGTCAAGCAAAAGCAATATGGAACAGATTTCTCACCATATCTTGGCGGCTACATGTTATGCTATAGTTGTGGGTACTTACTGCAATTTTTCCAAGGTCTATGCCGTAGTTCAAGGCACTCCATGAACATTGCTTATAGTTAGGGGTCCAGGATTCCTCAAAGCTTTCTTGAATGCATTCTCCTTTTTCTCCTTTAAGCCCATCTCTGCCCGGGATACCTGGAGTTCCAGGTATTCCGTTGACTCCAGGGTTTCCATCCCTTCCAGGAAGACCAATAGGTCCTTGCATACACATGCCATTATACTGAGAAACAAAAAGGTATGTTGGCATCACACAGGCATTATTATCATTTACTTAAGATAAAGAGAACAAATAGTACAAAAATGATAGATTAAATGGGGGGAAACAAACCTATTTAGCAAACTGAAAATGAACCTCCCATTTGGGAAAAATATAGTCATAATTTCAAGTGAATATAGAGGTTGATGTCAAATAGATAACTTAGTTTGTGTTTACATTTTTAAAACAATTTGAAATTGTAATTCAGTGTATAGGAGAACATATATCGCATCTAGAGGGAGAAGAAATACTTGTATAACTATGCAGTCCTTGAAACACTCTATAAAATCCACATTACCGTCTTTCAAACACAGAACCAGGTAAATTGCAGTACAAATCAATCCCATCACTCCTTTAATCTCTACTAGTACAATCCAACGCATTTATATTTCAAAATTATTCTAAGTGAATCAAATGGATGTAAATTAAAAAGATAACTTCACATCAATTTTCATTAGTGCTGACCTCATCAACACATCCATGTGTTACCTTGGCAATGCGCAAAGTTGTTTTTCAGCTTCTTAATCTAGGTTACAATCTTGGGGTTTTCTTTATTGGTCTTCCACCAAAACATTAACCTGGTCAGCTATACGACCAAAATTATCTTCCAACCTCAGAAAATGTTGGTCCAGATGCTGCCACCTGTTGGTGGGGCTTGCTCCATTGGTATCAACCATTTAGAACAGTGGTTCCCAACCTTTTTTTTCTCCATGCTCTCCCTAAGCATCTCTAAAATCCTGATGCCCCCCCCCCCGTGACATATAATTCTTACTTTAAGCAAAAAGTGAACTCTACTCACGCGGAGGAAGCCTAAAAGGCCATTAACTTGGTTTAAACAAGGTTCAAATTGCCCCCATTAAAAATCAAATTGCCCCACTGTAGAGCATGCCCCCCCACCGTTGGAAACCATTGATCTAGAGCAAATCCTTCTTTCTGGTTCAGCCGATTCACACGGCGCAGCTGATTTCCATGCCTTTGCTGTTCTACATACCAGGGTTGCCCTAGAAGTTAAGCAGCTGAGCTTCAAATTGCTGTAATTTGAACGCTGTGTGCAAGTGCATTAGGCGCAAGCTTTTGCAAAGGGCGTATGTGTGTGCAAAGTGCGCATGTGCACACAAAGCGCGCAATCACCAAACTGGTTGTTAAACTTGTTGCAGCCCACCCCTGTACAGGGGGCTTGTGTTTCCTCAAGAGGCTTTTGGATTCAGTCACCCATTGAGGAAGAAATGAAGTAAGCATCAAGAATCCGCCACATCCACTTGATGTTATTTTCTCCCTCCTTATAAAGACCACTGAGGGCAACTGCCTTCTCAGAAGATTGTGAGATCCTCTGCTTGGGGAATTCTCTTCCTGAATAATCAATTCCCATCACAGGTATTAAAGCAACCATAAATATTCCAAATTAGGGCTTGAGTTGCTTTGTTTTCATTTTTTTCTCTCTATTGTCTTTTCCTTCTGTGCTATGAATTTGAGGACTAGGGCACCAATGTTGTTAATATTAAATGTATCACAAAACACAAATTACCCGTAGGTCTCAGAGACCACAACTCTCATTCTCTTTTTCTGTTCCAAATTATGATAGGCTACAGAAGTACAATTTTGTTCCAAATGCTCTTAATCTTAATGGCATACAGTGTATTTTAAAATTTGATTGTAGGTTTTTAGTTTGATTTATTTTTTCAATCTTCTATATCTTCTTGATTTAATTTTGTTGTTCAGGTAAAATAAAAATAGCAGACTACAAGCATTTATCCTATTTTCTTTATGCTCTGTTATTGTTTCACTTTTTGACAAACTCTGCTCAGAAATGGATAGTACAAGCTTAGTAGGAACCAAGAAAAATAGAACAGAATATATAATAATAGGTTATTTCTTCCAAGCCTTCTCTTAAGAAGAGAGGGCAGAATTAACCAGTTTGCTACTACTATTGTCAGTGCCAGTAAACCCAGGGGAACAGCATATTGAAAGCGAAATGCTATTTCTAGAAATATGAGGAAAAGTAAATCCTTTCTGAGGTAATCAGTGAGAAGATTGTATGAGGGGGTTGAAACAGCCATTCCTAAAAGTATCTGGCTCATGCTAAGAATATGTGGAATTTCTGAGGCAGACAGGACTGACTTGAATATCAAACCACGTCTGAGGAAAGCCACGTTTTGAACGAGTGAGGCAGACTAAAAGCTGGTGGGTGGGTGGATGGGAGGGGGAGAAGGAGGAAGAGGTCTTCATAAACAAGTGGGTTTACAGCAAAAGTCCATTTCTGAACCAAATTCCAGCTACTGAGCACTGAAGCAGCCTTCCCCAACATTATGGTGCCCCTCAGAAGTATCTGAATGGCCTTGTAAGCTAGGAATTGCAGCCTGGAAGGCATAGTTTGGAGAAGGGTATCCTGGAGGCTTCATAGCTTTTCTTCAAATTAAATGATTTTCAATAAACTCAACGCCTGGTACAATTCTTTACAAGAGTACAATCCCTTCATTTGATCTTGTTTTTATGCCTGAACTGCAACTATGTTTAGCTGTCACTTAGGCAGGTGACAAAATCTCTTAGTATTTGGAAATAAGAGTACCAGAAAAAAAAGGGTTGTGAGTTAGGGTTGTGGGAAATGAAAAGAAATTCTTAGATTTAATTGCTATGTCTATGAAACCAGAAGTCAAGCTCAACTTGAAGTGTCTCTACAGACACTCATGCCAACAAATGTACTATATAGCTGAGGTCTAACCATTTTAATTCCAAAGCATTTTGCTTTCAGATAGATTTTCTCGTACAAGTAAATTCCACTCTCCCTACACTGTAGAAAGAAGGTATAGTGATGATTAAAGTCATAATTCCCAAGGCTAAATATAATGATTCCTCCAGCTTACAAAGGAATGCCTTCAGTGAGGAAAAATGTTTCAGAAGCCACTAATCTCCCTAAATGCTCAACTCAATAAATCACCAAGACTGGAGGAAACCAACTAAGTTACTCATCCTCTGAGTCCCACCACAGCAGAAGGCCAAGCTGTCTTTCCTTCAATTGTTGGTATCCAAACTCCAATTTCAGCCTGATCTTATTCACACAAGAACTCTTGAGAATAAGATGGCTTTCCTTATTTGGCATACTAAGAGGGAAAACTGAGACTTATTTTAAGGGAAGCCAGCTTCATTCAACTATGCCTAGAGACATTTTTGCACAGGGAAAAAAGTTCTCTGTTGTAAGCCATGCTAAACAAAATGGCACACAGGCTTGATTTCAAGGCTGAGAGTTAGCAAAATATAAAATACAGGAAGAATTAAGTGTGACCATCTCTTTGCTGCCTAATAACCTCTCATCCAGTTTTCCTATGTTTTATCTTTATCATGTTTAATTTTAATTGAAATCACCGAACCCTTTTGTGCTACTATTATTGTTAGAACCAATATGGTTATCCGTAACAGAAGAGCAACCTACTCCTATAACAAAACTGTGCATCAGAGGAAAAGGCTACCTAGGCAAGATACTACATTTAGGATCCCCCACTCCGACTCCCCCATCCAGAATGTGCATACAGGAAGTCCTCAATGTATGGCCACATATTAAGCCCAACATTTCTGTTGCTAAATGAGAAGGTCGTTCAGTGAGTTTTCCCCCCATTTTACGATCTGTCTTTTCCACAGTTGTTAAGTGAATCAGGGCAGTGGTTAAGTGAACCTGGCTACCTTATTGACTTTGCTTGTCAGAAGGTCACAAAAGGGGATCACATGACCCTGGGACACTGCAACGGTCATAAGTATGAACCAGTTGCCAAGCATTTGAATTTTGATCACTTGATCCTGGGGATGCTGCAAGGGTCCTTAAATGCAAAAACCAGCCATAAATCCCTTTTTCAGTGCTGTAATTTCGAACAGCCACTAAAGGAACGGTTGTAAGTCGAGGACTACGTGTAAATACCTGTTATCTTTACAAAAGAAAAAAAAGCCAAGGGACGGAGCGTGACCCCGGGAAAGGGACAGACCTCTCCACTCCAGCGGTGCCTTCTTGCCCTCCCTCCCGCACCGCCTGATCGCCCGCCTGGCCCTCCACTCACCACGTCCACCACCTCCCGCTGACGGAACGCCTTTTGTTTCCCTTTCTGCGTCTCCGTCGAGGTCCCGGGCGACGAAGCGGCCGCCAGCAGAAGCAGCGAAAGCAACAGAGCGGCAGAAAGCGCGGCCGGGCAGCACGGCGCGGCGGCGGCAGACGACGGTCTCATGGTCGGCGAGTGCTGGCGGCTGCGAGCTGGCAAGGGCTGGCCGCTGCGCCGGTGAGCGCAGATGAAGCGGGCAGCGTCCCGCCAGGCGCAGCCACACAGACGAGGCTTTCACTGCCGGAGAGCGCCAGTTCTCCCTGGGGGCGGTCAGGAATGCGCCGCTGGCTCCCCTCTGAAAGGGGCGCGCCTCCACCCGATTAGCTGGGGCCGGTGGGGGGGGAGGCAGCCGGGGGCGAAAAAGGCGGCGAAAGTAGCTCTCCCCCGCCACTTTACGCCGGGCGAGACAGGAGGGAGGTCGGCGTCGGGGCTGGTGGTGATGCGGTTTCCCGCTCGGTCCCTCCTTTTCGACCACGTGGGGGCGCGGCGGGGCGCCCCTGCTCGCCATCCCGCCAAAGGTTGGCCTCTCCGGCTCGTGGGGGTCGTTTGGGAGGAAGACCACACAGGACCGCCGAGAGGATTATTAAGTGCTGGAAAAAGACTAAGATGGGTCCCTTCACCTACACATGGACACATAAATCAATAATGTCATAATTGTGCATTTATTAATTGCATTCAAGCATGCTTGCAAAATAAATTAAAAAGAGGACAGGCACTTCTGTAAAAAGATAATTTAAAACAACAGTACAAATATGTAAACAGTAATGAAACAATATATATATATGCAATGAATTTAAAACTAGATTGATTGCAAGCTTAAGGCAGGACATAAAGCGAGATTTGGACATAACATGCAACAGGGTCAGACTATAAGACCTCCTGGGAGTCCCATCTATCCCTTCTATTTTGTTATACATTACTGAACCGGAAAC